TTTCTTGCGAGAGACAGAGAGAGGCGTTGAAAGGCTGCTCCAACGGAACTTATTGTTTTCAGAGGAAAACACGAACACGGTGTACAGTCGAGTCTTAATAGCTTACTTACAACTGGGCTCGTCAGGCTCTCTTCTTGGCTGAAGTGGTTATTATTATATTTACATGCTTCCAGCTCCCGTTTTTCCTCGATGACAACTCATACCTTTCCACTCCCCTTTTTCTCCCTCCCTCGTTCACAGACACATAATGTGTATGGCAGTGCATTCTCCCTGCAGCACGGACTACACTGCCCATGATGCTACATTCTTTAGAGCTATGCTTGTAGCATTCTGCCTGTTAGCTTAGCACAACAACAACAACAACGAAAAGGCGCTCTCTCACCCAGGAAACACACAGTTGCAGAGAGAGAGAGCGTCGCCCTGTAACCATGGCAACCGTAACCCTGCCGCCTGGAACAAAGAGCGTAGCTGTCAAACAAACCCAAACAGTCCTGACAGGAAAGTACCGCAGTGTAATCCATTTATTTCAACAAAGTAACTGTATTCTGAATACCACCCTTTTAAACGGTAACTGTAACGGAATACAGTTACTCATATTTTGTATTTTAAATACGTAACGGCGGTACATGTATTCCGTTACTCCCCAACACTGACTGTCAGACAGAGTCGATGAGTTTTGTGAAATGCAACTTTAATGAATAAAGAAAAACAATATACAGAGATATATAAATGCTTTGGACACACTGTATCTGCATAACAATTGCACTGTGAAAGTAAATGGTAAAATGACTGGAGACATTAAATTTCACGTGCACTATTTTTATCTGAATATGGAAATCATGTAAGCGTCTAAGGCAGGGGTGTCAAACTCAAATACACAGTGGGCCAAAATTCAAAACTGGAACAAAGTTGCGGGCTAACGTTAATATTTATTGAAATATATTTATTCCTCCAGATAAAAGAATGAATCTTTTCTTATGGACTCAAACACGGTTTGCTGAAAAACTGAATATGGAACAAGCAAAGCTTAATACTAAACAATATATATATTAGCTGTATAACACCAGTAGCCCAGCTCTAATAGTAATTAGGTGTGGCTTCGTGGGCCAAATGTAATTAGGCTGCGGGCCAAATTTGGCCCGCGGGCCAGAGTTTGACACCTATGGTCTAAGGCATCAAAATAATTTAAAATTGTTTTTAATGATAATTCTACATTAGATATTAGCGGCAGGAAAAAAAGGGCATATGTAAGGAGAGAAACAGGCGAGGGATGGATACCACAGTGGATCGAAGCTACAGTGAAACACGGTGGTGAGAAGACAGACTGATCTAAATCAGCTACACCCTGACTGAGGAGAAGCAGCCCTCCATTCTTCAGTGATGTCCTCCAGCAGTGATTTATATCTTTGTGGAGAACGATTCATATTGCAGCAGGATAACTGTTATGGAAGAACTTTCCTTCATTGTTACTGTCACACTTCAACTTGAAGACTATCGTCGTCACATGAAGCTCTTGCAGGGATAATCTGGTTTAACAAGACTTGACATAGTCTCTGTTCTCAGGTCGGCAGGAATCAAGTGACATAAATTAGCACATTTCTGTGCCTGCTACTTTTTTGTCCTGATTGGGACTCGTATCAGAAACATTGCACTACAAAAAAAAAAAGTATTCAGGGAGAATTCATTAACTAAACAGGAATATGTGATGTTTGCAGCTGTCTTTGTCCTCACCGGAGTGAAATCCCTTTAAATTTCAATCTTTAGATCTTTAAAGTCCTGCTGCCAAAGTGAGTGAGAGACAAACAAATACCAAATACTCAAATTCCCTTTTCAGAGATGCAACTTTTTACTAAACTTATGCTAATAATTAAGCTGATAAATGCAAAATAAAAGTATCCGCATTTCAATTATAGTAAGACTACTTAAGCAGGCAAAGTACAAAGAGCTAAAACTCCAGCGCTGGTTGCCGGTCATTGGGGTCATGGTAGATTCTTCATGTCTTAATTGTGGCGTTTGACGAACTCTTCCATTGCCCAGTCATCATTCTGTCTCACACAGTAATCGCCTCTGGGCGTGTTGACCCTGCAAAAAAATCAGTGTCATTATTTTGTTCTCAGCTTACAGATTTTATTCTTCATAGAAAAGAAGGATAATACAATGCTTTGCAAATATTAGTGAGGGCAGCAAAGAGATGTTGAAGTACAAACTTACACAAAGGCTTCTGTTAAACATTTGCTGTGAGTTTTTCTGATGGAGAGGATGTGCACCTTTGGGATCCTTTTATCAAAGAATTTAAAACAGCAAAGATCAGGTGGCACTAAACCCATTCCAGAAGCTGTAAGAGAAAAACACAGGGTATGTTTTAGTGCTACGACTCTATGTCGCAACTTGTTTTCAATTTATATCTAAACAAAACTTACAGTTTGAAAGCTTATATTTTATGTCCTAGTGTAAGATTTTTTATTTTTTAAACTGGGTAAGGCTTTTTCTGTTGTGCAGATACTAGTGTGTAAGCATGTAAAGTAAAATTATATATATGTAATTTAAAATGTTAAATGATAGTACATGCAAATTAGTTGTTGGCTAAAGATGTACAGCTACCCCAGGCAAGCTAAAGTTTTAGTTGTTTTTTTTTTTTAACAAAAATATTATTTTTTTTAATATAATTTAAAATGTAGATATTATTTGTATTATTTTTATGTGACAGCAGATTTTAAAGGAAAATGGTTACATTTATTTTAGCTTATGCTAATGATACCTTTTTACACTTGGACAGTAAGGGCAAAGTTAGGTGCTGGATATTTAAATAACCTTTTGAAACTTCAACATCCAACAAAAATTGTAAAAATTGTATATATGATTATATACAGCTTCCTATTTAAAAATATAATTGTATACACATGCACACACAAATATATGTAACACAGTCCTGGTAGAAGATCCGAGCTTAGACCGCCACAGCCGCAAGAGGGGAATTTTTAAAATATAAAAATCTTTCAATCATTTGTCATTTCCCTGAGATAATAATTAGTTTCATTTTTGTTTTAATCACTTAAAATACAGGAAAATGAAGAATTTCATGTTCACAGTTGAAATTCCCTCCAGTGTGATGCAGGAAGTAGACTAACAGACTTACGTGAGGCGTCGCAGTAGTAAATAGTAAACAGCACGAGCAGCAGTCCCACGGTCAGGCTGAGAGTCTTCATGTTCGCTGTAGACCTGGTGATGCTGGTGTTTCAGATCTGAAGTGATTTGTCCTGCTTCCCTCGGCTTAAGTCTGACATGCTCACATGTCCTCATCTGCATATTCAAAGCCGTTCTAAGAAAAGTGGAAAAAAAATTATAAAACAAATATAAGGCAACAGGAAGTTTGAGGGGCTCACCGCCATTCTGATTGTGTGATAAAACAAGGTCAGCCAAACCACTCATTCTGCAAAGCCTTTGCATTGTCTTTACATCATACATAGTCATAATGTTTCCACCATTAAACCTCTAATGTTGTTTCATAACTGTCACCAATAGTCCTTAATCATCACTTTCTGAGCCTTGCAGTGTGCAGGTTACAGTGATGGTCTG